GGGAGCTAAGGTGGAGGAGAGTGTACGTCAATTATCAGGGTGATATTATTTGTCCTCTATGGCTTTGGTTGTACTTAAAGTACATTTTCATTGTCATTTCTTTATCTATAGGTCAGGGAGTTTGTCTATATAACTGATTCTAACGTACAACATAAAGTAACTGTGCAAAAAACTCCTTTTAGTCTAGAATATTACCAAATAAAAGCGTCTAGAAAGAGTGACTTCTTACATTTTGGCGAGCACCCAAGAGACTTGTATCAAATTACTTCTTTATATATTACAAAAGATTCGTGAGATTTGCCAAGGTGAACGAAGTGTCGAAAGGCACTAATTATACGATTTATTAAAATAGCATTCCTCATTTCTTAACTAGTTCAATCAATACAACCAGTGATGATCACCACATAAATACCAAAATAGCTATGGCCAACGTGTCAATTGTTTCATGTTGGACATGTGCCAGTGCTTTGCAAAATCCATAGATTACAGTACTCAATGATTTTACGGAACTAGTAAACCAATAATCAGAATCGGATATAGTCCTGAGTAAGGACACTAGAGGTTACTGTTAGTGATTTGGTTTTCTGTATAAAAAGTCAGTTTTCTCCTTCCCTGCCCTATTGTAGCTACATCTGGCGTTTGGGAAGTGAATCAGGACTAATTATTTATATAGTAGGTCCTAAATTATCTGAAAACATGTCAAAGTTCAGTGGGAATCTCATTTTAAGCGGAGTGATTTGACCTTGGTGATTTTACCAGAATTCTTTGAGAAATCTGAGGATAGAGGGCTTAGTGTCTTCAAGTTTATTAATCTCAAAAACTCAGTGGACAACCCATGGTAAGATTGTTATAGCTAGGCGAGTCTCTCCCGAACACTGTGGCATGTTGCAGTAGGCTCGGATACTAGTTGTTAATAAGATACAGGGTAAAATGTTATAATGGCCACCTATGGGAAACTCTGCTGGAGTCTCCAACCTATTACAAGGCGCTTTTTGGGGCATTTTGTAGGTTTTATTTCTTTTGAGGCTTTTTAGTTCATGAAGAAGCCTAATAGCGCATATCATATGAAAGGGCTGTATCTTAGCTGAACAATGACATTTTGAAGCAACTTTGGTGTTTTTGGGGCGAGGCCACTGTGCCAAGTAGCCCGAATTCCATTCTCCCGTGCCATTCAATTGTTTTCGGGGCAGTTTTGAATGAACCTTTGTTTCTTCCTACCGTTATGACGTCATAAGATGCAATCGAACGCCTTGACATGGAAAGATAGAAGAAATCGCTTTCCAATGATGATACCCAGCATGGCCATGTTCACATCAGTTGGGTGTACTCAATCTATGATGCAATCTGTAAGGTGTACCCCTACCCAAAAGAAATTTCAAGAAATCTCAAAATCAAATTTTCTGAATTTTGCTAAAAGGACCTGTGTCTATAAGGATTGAATCTTCCCCCGTGCATTTTCTCAAATATGGCATTGTTATATGCCACTGTGATCGGGATAATGCCTACAATGCTAATATAACCATGTTGGAAGAAAACAAACTAATTCAGTTTACTATTAGGATATAGTCCTGAGTAAGGAAACAAGTGATTACCGTTAGTGATTTGGTTTTCTGTATACAAAGTCATTTTTCTCCTTCCCTGCCTCATTGGAGCGCCATCGGGCGTTTGGGAAGTGAATCGGGACTAAATATTTATAAGGTAGGTCCTAATTTATCTGAAACTATGTCAAAGTTCAGTGGGAAATCTCATTATAAGCTGGCGGCGGAGTGATTTTGACCTTGGTGATTTTACCAGAATTCTCTGAGAAATCTGAGGATAGAGGGGGTTAGTGTCTTCAAGTTTATTTATCTCAAAAACTCGGTGGACAACCCATGGTAAGATTGTTATAGCAGGCTAGGCGAGCCTCTCCTGGACACTGTTGTTTGTTGCACTAGGCTTGGATACTAGTCGTTAATAAGATACAGGGTAAAATGTTATAATGGCCACCTATGGGAAACTCTACTGGAGTCTCCAACCATACCAATTTTGGAGAAAAATATTGAGGTATCATAATTTGCTATATGTGACGTCACATGGCAGACCTACCAAAAAAGTTTAAATTAAGTTAGAGGCTCGAGAACAATTTTTGTAAGGATAGACATTTTTAAGGGGAATTTTAATCGACATAAATTTGAAAGAAAGTCACTTGAAATAGTGTTCTAGCGCATTTGCACAGGAAATGTCATAGCCTATACAATAATTTACGGCTTGGTAACGTGTCGTGTTTTGCACTAATCCAAAGTGACCGAGCTCTACCGATATAGGCCAACCTCGTTTAGATCTTCTTATCTGTTATGGCATTTTGACAATGTGGCATTGTGGCAATGTGGCAATCGAAGTTATACATACTATAAACAACCACTGGTACTCACCAAGTTACTCTGACGACACGTCAGCGTAACAAGATGAAAGAACTCCCGGCTTCGTTTTCAGTTAGATATTTATAGGTTATCCTATGATTTTGAGGAATATCATTTTTATCTACGAGGTAATATTGATATCTGCACGAGAGAGCGAAGCGAATGAGTGCATATATCAATATCACCGAGAAGATTAAAATGATATTCTGAAAAAAATCATAGGATGTTCTTATTATCCTACACTTACAATGAGTGTACTAAATGTATAATATCATTGCAAAATGATTTCCATGTCAATTTGGCGGGAAATCAACAAGCGGAGTATATCGTCGCGATATCCTACGCATATTGGGCTTTCCAGAGTATATAGTCACGATATCCTCCGCCCGGAGTATATCGTTACGATATCCTCCGGATATTCATTTTGCCAATAAATATCAAATTTATTTTTTAATGTTATTATACATTTATTACACTAAGTGTAGGATAATTTTATTTTTCCACGATTAATGTGTTATCTGTACAATAACAGCTATTGATATTTCTGATATTATTGAAATCCTTGTGATATTTTCCAGAAAATCGTTTATCAAACTCATATGCGTGTGATATCACATTTGCATTTCGCGCCACAATATTGTTGGAAATTAGATCAGCTCATTTATTATCTTTTGAGAAAATAGGTCCGGTAATTTATTCTCTTTAAGTTTCATTGGTGTATTGAATTACGATTGTGTATATAATTTGATTAGAAAGCTGCTAAATAACGATTAAAAATAGTATTTATGACGAACTATATCATGTTCAGAAAGTAGTGCATATTACTGCGCGATGAGTAAAGTATAATTCAAAACTGCCGGTGCAAATGAAATTGGATCAGAACATCACAAGGTGATTGCAATCATGGGATAAACCCAATATCAAATAATTGTTCGTGATATCATTTTATCGCTCAAAATGATGTGATATTCTATATTTCTCGATTTTACACCACTTATAAGACTTAGTCAAGTTGTGAACAATAATTTGGCTCAAAGTTAAGGAAGATGATGTAGTTTGAGAATATGCAGGCGGTTCTTATATATCATATACTTTTACAGATTTACAGCTGATCTTTAGTAGTTGGTATGACCACCAGTTGCTGCTCGAACAGCAGCTTATCTGGATGGATATGATTTCAATAAAAATTCAGATAAAGGTGTAGCATTGCATAATCCTCTTAGCACTTTCCTCACATTCTTCCGAATTACATCCTTACTGTATCTTTTTTCAATAGGCTCTTTTTCCATCAATTCCTATACCCTGTTTTCAGAACTGAACCCATATGTTTAGTGTAGTCGACATGTTGACTAATTCTTTCATATTCCACTTATTTAAAATTTGACATTTAACCAGTAACAGAGCTGTAAAGAAACTTGGTAAATACACAGAGATGGGTTGGACTGCACCTTACGTACGCCACATTACGACTGCCGTTTAGTACAGGGACAGATGTCTATCCTTGGACACAGAACGAATAACAAGACGCATTTTTGATTGGAATTTAACAGTGGGTGTATCGCGTGCTAAGGCGAACTGTTTTTTAACCTTAACAGGATATTGGCAGCTGATTTTGATTTGGGGTTCGATTTCCATTGGAATCTATCCTGCACACGCTGAAAACCATTCGATTAAATGCATGGAGAGCCAATTTGTGGAATGACAACCGCCGTGATTCAAAACCAACGGAACAAACTTAGAACTTATAGAACATTTAAAGTCAACTGTGACTGTGAGGCCTATCTTCAATCCAGTCTATCACTATTGGATAGAAGGGCATTTGCATCCTTGCGCTGTGGAGTCACCCCAATCCGAATTGAAACTGGCAGATATGAACGCCTGGCTGTCCGAGATAGACTTTGTGTGATTTGCAATGCAGTCAATATGGTACAACGAAAATGGGACTTCTGCGCATGTTAAAATTTTTCGTCAAAACTCAACTTTTGTTCAAGCTGATACAATTGTCTCTCGAACTAGAGACTTACCTCATTCGAAAGATCATAAAATACTTTATCTATACTGAAAATCTTAGATTCAAACATAGTACAATACGCCGTCAGTCCGCATTTGATTTTTTGAAGTGAGTTTCGTAGATCGTCAGATTTCTCCGACTGATATTGGGTTATCTCAAATTGGTTCGTTTATAAATACGAATTTCTTTACCGTTGTAAGGCGCATGCGCAAAATTGATTTATAAACGTTATTGGTTGATGGTTTTTCTCCTGAGCATGCGTGAAGTCTGATGAACACTTATGACGAAGACCGGAGCAAACATTACTAGCTCTCGAACGAAATTCCAAGATTCAGATCATTTCGCCGTGTTTGCTAAGCGTGTATACGGGAATGACAAGCTGTTTTGAGTAGATCAGGTACCTGTTTTAGACACAACATTGATTTAGCTTGACATTGATGTGCACATTGGCACTTTTGAGCATGTTAATATAAGTTTTTACACTCTTAGCACGAGACGGGTTTTCGAAAAATCTGTTATCTGATTCACTCGATTATCGTATGGATATGTATTTCTTCTGACATTTCAACACAACATCAAACAGAATTACGATGCAGAATGATAATAAAACACAAAACAACTACTACATTCCACTTGTTATTTCACAGGAGGTAAAAATGCACACTGCCTATATTCTTTGTAAGGGTCGTCAGACATCGGATTGGCCGCCATATTTGAAATGTAAATATCACTAAATAGAGCTCTGTGCATGTCTCAACATTTCGACTGAATGAAGAGGTCCCACTTGTAGAGGATGAACAACATGTTATAATGGACTGTAGCGGATGTAATGTGTTAAGGCGTGATACTCTGTATAACGTGTCAACTAAATTAACATTATTTCCAGAAAATTCACAAAGAACGATTCAAAATACTTATGAGTGAGCCTGGAATTTACCTATACGTTGCCAGGGCCTCTGGGCAAATCCTCACGACCAGGGAGCGGGTTCTATATAGATAAGACAGGTGTCTTATAGGCCGATGTCGGCCCGGGGTTCGTTTAATTGATATTTTATGTAAAGTTGGACCCAAGAAACTATCATAAATTTTACAATACAATACAATACAATATGTTTTGCGTAGGTGGCTCGCGAACATATAGCATATTTGTTTGAAATCGATTGGAAAATATCGAAACAAATAAGCCATGTGTATTGCGAGGCGAAGCTATATTTCGAAACTGGAACATACCTGCCAAGAACATACCTGCCAAGAACCCAAAAAAGTTAATGAAGGATAGAACTAAAATTCTTAGCAAATGGTTCTTCCATCAGTCAGGCCATGTTGAAACGAAGACATAATGTCTTCGTTTCAAGTTGTTGCCCAGTATTTTGGCAAAGAGGTTAATATTTTTTTTAAAGGAGTATGATTTGACAATGTCGACGTGCATTTAAACTACCGGCTTTGTCCATGTTTATGAAATGTACTTTGCTGTTTGTCGGAATGTGCTTGATTTACGTCATTAATCACGTGGTTTATATGACAAGCATTATATCGAATTCGCCCGGGGAATGATCTTATAGCACCGCGGGGCATCAACGGACACACATAAAACGAGGTAAATATTAATAACTATATTTCATTGTTAAGTTAAATATGTACAATGTGTATGTGTAATTAAGTACACAATTTATTGTGAAAGGGGATGTTTTTTCCTCACATCTCCCCAATAATACATTATTAAAGCTTCAAGCTATATTTCAGTTAATTTATCTCTAATACACCAGAATATTATTGAATCAGTTCATCGACATTTTGCATTATTTCTCAGATATAGGTGAGATAAATGGTATGGATGAATCGTTTCCATATAGAAATGATGAATGCTAAACTTATGTTAGTTTTTCACAAGATGAATATCAATATGTTTTGAGATATCATTCCCATGGGTTAATAATCAATAAAGGAGGACTTATTACTCCTCCTTGAATAATTGCGGCTTTGGCTGAAATAATTTTGCCCGTATTTGGATATTTCTCAGTTGCTTAGAAAACCTCAAAACATATGGGAATATATAAACCTTTCGAAAAAAACCGTTATCATTATCTTTAAAAATGTGATGATTGCTAGAAGTAATATCAAAGAAAAAATTACCATCGGAGAATGTGAAGGCGTTCGATTGCTTACGACTTATAGATTAATGACCATGCCCTTGGAATATATGAATATTCCAATACCTCTGTAACTTTTAATTAGATATAGATTTTACATATTTGGCGTTGTTTGAGGATTTATTAAATATAAACAATAATTTGTCGTTTGACCCCTTATGATGACATGGATAAATTCTGGTAGGTAAGGTTTTAAATGGTCAAAAACTAACACGGTGGAAATCTTGGATTACCTTTTGCAAAGTTGTATTGAATCTACTCGGCTCAGATTTGAAAATGAAAAAAAAATCTAAAAAGCACGCTTATGTAATAACACTTATAGACGCCGACATTTAAAATGAAATTATGATCAATTTTTGACCTCCTGTGACATTTTTTCGACCCCAAAGCTGGAAGGTTTTCAGCAAATGGTCTTTAAAAAACAAAGACATGCACACCGCATCTTGGTTGTAATGTAATTGCGCTATAGTGTACTACTGTATATTCCGGAGTCATACCATGGACTTTTTATCACACGCCCGGTGATCGTACAAAATGGACAGAGGGGGGGGGGGGGGATTGGGCGATTTCTGGAAGAAAACTCAACAAATTTTGGAAGATTTATTTTTTGAAAAGAAAATTTCAAACTGAATTGCCAAATTAATAGGCGCAGTGCATGGCAAAATATGTTAGGTCATCTAGTATTTTTTAACTGATACCCTTCTAAGATATGAGATCTATAAAAAAAGGTGCATCATCACCAACGTGCAAAAGTCAATGTTTTCACTATAAATCGTGCAACAATGGTCTGCACGACCTGTAATAAATATGTATAAGGGACGTTATTATCACAATACTAATAACATCGCTCACCTTTTAAAGTTAGTTTCCATGCGTTATACAAAAAAATAATTGAAATAAATTGATATTTGATGGAGGGGGATCACGTGTATGTAAGACGTGATAAGATATTTTTCAAATACACGAGTTCTTGTGAATTTGTTCCATCGTAAAGACATATAAATCCCCCCTCCATCCACCCCCCCCCTCCATCCAATGTCGGACGTTGGTCGTCGTATATTAATGGGCTTGGTCCGGTCACCCCAAACTCCGAAGACACCTTGATATCATAAAATAAATCGACAAAGAGTGAATATGCGAAAAATATGTATCCGGCATTTTGTAACAGTTTCGCTTTCTAATATACCATATCTGCTCCTAAAGTAATGTATAAACAGTTCTTTTTTTAATTCGTTGCACTTGCTGAAAACCCCGGTGTCAAACAAACTCAGTTGATCACAAATACGCTTTCAAATTATTTAAGTCTGAAACTTTGAATGCCTTGAAAAGGAATAAAAACAAGTATATGTTTGTTTTGATTTACGATTAGCGCAGGTTTCCATCACGAATGGCCGATTTTGAAAAATTCTAAGAAATACAACGGCAACTGCCAATTGATAGTACATATACAGAAAAATTGTCCGAACAGTACGGACTTCTTGAGCTGCTTTCTCATTTCCCGATATTATTGGAATTAATCGCTGTCTGTAAAGAATAGCAAACTGGGATGAAACGAAATCAATAACTATATCTGTGAAAATAAAAATTCTCACTTGTTAAGTTTGTCTATGTGATAATAATAACTAAACATTTTAGTCATAAGGTCTAAAATTCCGAAATTTCTTAATTCCGAAGGCATGTCCAGAAATCTGTTCCGTTCCGATTCAATTCCGCTCCGCACCAGCATAGTCTAGCATGGTTATGGTTCATGCATGGCAATACAAGCACTTGGCAACGCTTACATCATTTCAATATCTAAGCACAATGATCATTGAGGGAACATAGGATGCTTTAAAAGTTCGCATCGTACATATTATACGTACGTCTCAAGTACTGTTTTATTGTAAAGAATTATATTATTAATTTGATAGCAGAATTAGTGTTACTTTGAACAACAACAGTATAAATATAGTTTATTTACCGTAAGGAAGAGGAGGGAAAGCCCCACAGTTTAAAGATGACAGACATAGTTACCTCTCTTGCGTACCACCTTCGTTTGTTCGAATTTTCATCGGCTAGTTATCAAATACTACACTTCGATGTGATGTTTTAATTGATATATATTCCGTACACCTTTCTTTATCTTGATGTGAAATGAGAAGCTATGATATTGATTAACACGCCAGAAATGAACATAATATTATTCGAAGCGTATTTCGAAAATTTTAAAACCGCCATTGATGACGTCATTTGTTTGTCGACTTTTGACCAATCAGCGACGATGTCATCTCAATGCAGATTTACATTATAAGCGTATGTCATTTTTGAACCCTGGTGTTTCTCCCCCTCTGACCGGAAGGGATTCAATATTGGTTTTATTCCGAGGGACAACCCATATTTGATCTCGCCCAGCAAATAAGCTTTTCATCCCACGATATTCATAACTCTCTTCACGAACTCATTCAAAACCTTATCTGATTTCTGTATGAAACAAAACCAGAATTTATATTTAGTTTGCAAAAGATGATTTAATAATTATAATGCATTATTCATTACATGGCATTGGGGAATATCGTTATTCAAACACGATATATCGACCAAACTAAGCTCTGTTTTGGAAAAAATTTCGGAATATGTATATTATTTTCATGTGCGGGATCGTGAAGTGAATCCAATTTTAGTGAGCTGTATTGGGCGGGACAATACAATTTTTTATCAAAAATTTTTCGGAGTGTTATTCACCGGGAAGTATAGTATCATGGGATAAATACTAATAATCTACCCTATATTCAATGTCAATGTTATTTGAAATATACTACTCAATGGTACTTTCTGCAGTAGTTTTTGACACAGGGTGTTTTGCATTTATGCTTATTCGACCAGTGCTTCGGAGGATACACGTATTTTTAAAACTCTTATATAAGTAGTGAAATATATATTTAATATAATATAAGAAAGACATATCATACACCGCACTACGTGGAGCAGGTCACGCATTGCATTCGTACCTTGGAAAATAATCCGTACTGACTAATGATTGGTTCAAGTTAATGTAAGCCATTAAAATCAAAACTTTATTTTTTGCTAAAAATCCATTGTTAAAGATACATTCAGGAAAAATAAGCAACACTTCATTAAAATATCAACATACACAATTGCATTTTCTAACAGAGCATCAGAAGTCAGTATCCGTTATCAGTTATATCAATCAAGACCAATATACTTGGCCCTTAATACACCAGTCTGGTCTTATCCTGAATTGCGTGACAAGAAAGTAAAAGAAGTATCTATGTTATATAAATTATTATATTCGCACATGTAAAATTGTACATGTATGAATCGATAATGTGGTATCACACGCGCCACCCCGCCAATGTAATTATGTTTATGTATAAATTTTCAATAATGTCATTGCATTGATGATTCAATTAATTGATAACGAAGTTCAAAACTTCCATTTTGTAAATCACTTTGTCAGATAAGCTATACATAGCCTCCCTTAGATAGTAAATCGTTTCGGAAGATAAACATATGTCAACCTCTCGTTATCACTGTTCCACAACTGGATGACTCTAACTGCAGTTAGCTTCATTCAAGATGGTGGACAAAATTCGTTCGTTTTCGATAAATCTCCAATTACAGCCAAACCAAGCTAAATTTTGATCCCAAAAGTTTCGCCATGCAAACTAATAAAGATATGATTGTAAACAACCACAAATAAAGGCTCACGCACCCGCGATATTAGAGAAATTGAAAGAAAACGGCTTCACTTAGAATGACTCTAACTGAAGTTAGTGATGACGTAGGAATGAAGCTAACTGAAACGGGGAATGAAGCTAACTCAATGGGATGAATATATGGACGGCCCTGTCTGTTGTTATAAGATATCTAAATGTTATTGACTGTTGTTATTGGTGTAGCCATTTGTATTTTGACATGGAGTGAGTTTCTATTCAATCCCATGGCCGGTGATCGTAGAAATTGGACGGAGGGGGAGCAGACAAATTCTGGTAGAAATTTCAACAAATCTGGAAAATTTACTTTTTCAAGACAAAATTTAGTTTACGATTGAATGGCCAAATGAATAGGCTTACGGTATGGTAAAATATTGTAAGTATTCTAGGATTAAAGTATATGATGTAAAAGGCGAAATGCCGCAAACGTCCGAAAGTCAATGTTTTGCTAGTCAAGCAAGAATGGTCTACACGACCTGTAATTAAAAAACGCCACCATGGAACATTGCAGTATTCTTATTTTAGGTTTACTGAAGACAGATACAGAGACCAGACTCCAACGGATAGGAACAACCAAACTAAAACCCCAACACAGAGAGATCACACAACACAACCGAACACAACCAAATAAACTCACCCGACTAGGCACAACCGACCACCTATCTTAACATAATCGGGCACAACCCGCCACCACCCCTCATTTAACGATCAGGCACAACCAACCACATAACACA